GTCACAGCGGAGAAGTTAACATACTGAATTTAGCTAGACAAACTGGGCCTAATTTGAAGCATTCAGATGAGCTCTTATTCCACATGGTGAATATTCATAAAGAGGACATTAACAAAATTCATGAGCATGATGCGAAGAGGCAAAACCAATCCTTGAGTAAAAAATGAAAGGGGCAAAAGTAGAAGTATTTCCTTCTCATGACCTGGTTCAGAATGGTTAACAACATACAGATTATTTTTCTTTGCTGCAAATGGCATTTACTAACATGCAGGTCAAAATTGAGTGACAGTAATAATATAACTCCAAGAAAAAATATTTTAGATGTTCAGAACCCATAATATGGTGAATTTGCTGTTTTTACTCTTCCTCAATGTACCTTCAGAATCCTATATCCACTCTTCATAGAGTACATTAACAACTTGATGCATAGGGATTTTACACCATGGCACCAATTAAACTAAATGAAAGTACTACAGCTGAATTCCCACATGCTCTCAGCTGAAAAGGTACTTCTAATGGTTTTTAACTCATTTTCCTCTATGAGTTTTTCTCTGTAAGTTTTCTACCTTTTATGTCATTACAAATTGCAGCACAGTTTGCATGTTTTGCAGTCCCTATGTCCATGTGTTCTAATCATGTGTTTTTCTTTCATTTGAATTTCAGCAGAATTACGCTGAGCATTCTGATGGATAGGGCAGAAAGTGTTGACACACTGTACTGATTTCCACTGTTGTCTCAATCTGCCAAATCGGATCCTGACTTTGTTCATTTATTCTATTAATATACTTACTGCCTTAGCTTTTTCTGATCATGTTTTCCATCTTGTTTTCCTTTGAGTGATTTTTGTTTCCCTCTTTTCTACCTGCTATCTTGATTTTCTTCTCAACTATTAATCAACAGAGTATTTTCTCATTGTATATTACTGGACTGCATGTTTCCAAAAATTTTATCAGATCTTTTTACCTGAAAAACAAAATGTGGGGAAGCCATGTCACAGGTCTTCAAAATAGAGCTGTGACTTTATTTTGTCAGTGATATATTCCCTCCTCCCTTACATAAGATTATATGATGTTCTGGACAAATTTTGACTTTATGTTAGTATCATTATGTGCAGGAGAAATTCAGTTTCTACAGTGAAGATGCTGAGACTGTGGTTTGGCCCAATGCATTGAACAGAAATGTGGAAGCATTTTTTAAAAAGACCACTAGTTTTGGGTTTGATCTTGTATGCACTCGTTCTAGTAGAGGAAGGATACCTAAAATCTGTTTCCATCTTGTATGCACAGGAACAGAAAGAACAGGCCACTCTACAGAGCAAGACAAACCAAGAGCAACCACAGCACACTGTGCTCTCACCAGAGCACAAGTCCATCAAAACTGAACCGGCTGGGCAGAATAAGGGTGCTGATAACTGGTCCCTTCAATAGCTCCACACACAGTGAGGTGGTGAATGAGGTCCAGGAAATCTAATCCGGAGCAGCAGGAGATGGAAGCAGAGACAGAACTGTAAACCAGGCTACAGCGTGGGCCCAAGAGTCATCTAGAAGGTAGGGCTGAGGGTAGGTCCACTAACAACATAGCTCAGGCAGGGTTATGAAAGGCCCTGGTCTGAGTTTACATGGAGCTCCTGGGCCTTGGGAAAGGGTGGATGTCCCAGGTGAGACTGGTCCAAGCAATTAAATGCTATTGGTACACATTCACAGTCTTCACAGTGTGGACTTAGATGAATTTCTTAGTGCCAGGCTTTTCAGCTCTTTCATCTAATTCCTACCTACTTCAAATTACAATCAAATGGGCTGTTTAAATGTCTTTAGAAACCTGGCTGTAAGTGCAAATGATACTGAGCTGTTAGACACCTAAGAAGCTTTCAAGCACATCCTTAAGGTCAGTAAGGCCATTTATTTTGTAAGCAAATGTTTGTGTTGCATTTTAGCTTTAATCCTTTTTTCTCCTAGCTTTTTTTTGTCTTTAAGATGGTGTCCTCATGAGGATTAAATAGTTCACATCTGTATTGCATGTGAGGAGCAAAAGTTTCTACAAGCTGCAAACTGTTATGGTACAGGTTACTTTACATGCTAATCCTAACATTATAAGCATCCTAACATTAGCCACATAAGCTAACTGACAGAAGATTTCCTGTTCAGACTTCTCCACCTCCATGTGCTTGTGCTTTGATCAGTTTGTTCTGGATTAACAAGCATGTGGAAAGTCAAAACCAGTTTCCTCATAGTTTGTTAGTAGGTGAGACAGAGGGGCAATGGCAAAGAAGCATTAACCTCAGATGTTTGAAGCTTGACAGATCTGTAGTTTTTTTTAAATAAATAGCCTGAACCCCCATAATGCCTCATGAAACGTCAAAGAGAGCCAGAACAAAGCACATAGAATCATAGAATCACAGACTGGTTTGGCTTGGAAAGGATCTTAAGATCATCTAGTTCCAGCCCTCCTGCTAAGGGCAGGGACACATCACCCTAGAGCATGTCATAGAATCATAGAATCATAGAATAGTTAGGGCTGGAAAGGACCTTAAGATCATCTAGTTCCAAACCCCCTGCCATGGGCAGGGACACCTCACACTAAACCATATCACCCAAGGCCTCGTCCAACCTGGTCTTGAACACCACCAGGGATGGAGCGTAAATGTCACCCAATACTCTGTCCAACCTGTCTGTGAACAGTCAGGGATGGAGCATTTACCACTTCTTTTGGCAACCTGTTCCAGTGCCTCATCACCCTCACAGTAAAGAACTTCTTCCTTCTATCTAACCTGAACTTCCCCTGTTTTAGTTTGAACCTATTACCCCTTGTCCTATCGCTACAGTTCCTGATGAAGAGTCCCTCATGAGACCACAAGTATGAGATGAGACCGAATTCAGCTTGAATGTACTTTGTAACAGATAGGGACTGGCTCTCAACGTCCAGGGGACAGAACCTACTGCACTATTATCTTGTAAACTCCAAATGCCATCATACCCTTTGACTTGGGAACTGCAGCTGAGATACTTGGCAGGGCTTCAAGGGCATCTGTGGGAGAAGAAGAGGCTGCCATACTGTGAATGTAAAAAGGGTCAGATCAACCTCTGATGCATTTCTTGATATCTGTATCTAGTGGGCATTATGCGCCTATTTGTCATTTTCAAGGCTTGCTTTGGATTTTTGACAGTTCAGCTATGTGGCTGTATAGCTGAGTTACTAATTCTGTAGTAGTGCTATCTTTGGAAGGTGAGCTATCACTAGCTGATTGCTGTAGCAATATGTTGAGCCAAATTTACCCTGATATGACTGCTTTGCTCAGGGCAGCCACACAGATCTGTTTATGGGATTTCCAGACAGCAATTCACATCCTCCCAATGCTGAACACTTTCTATTTCAGGTCTGCATATCCAGGCTTGGCTCAACACTGCATTGCTTCACATTTATGCTGGTAGAACTCTTTTGGACAAGTTGGTATAAAACTGGAACAGCCTTCTTATCGTCATTTTCAGGACCCTAAGACTACCTGCCTCAGATAAAGCTGAATAGACATACCCTGTTCCAAATTGCTACCTCAGCATGTATTTTTCACTTGAAGCTCTTAAGCATTTGCTGTATGTTTCTGAGCATCCCTATTGGATTGATTTGTTTTTTCCCACAGAAAACTGGTATTAAGTGGTCCTTTTCCCAGCAATAACAATCTCATTTACTATAAATTATTTTATTTGTAGTACCTTGGAGACACTGTAGTGCTTTCACATAATAAAAAACCCCATTTATTCATGAATACTTTGAAGCTTGTTTTTAGCGTGGGGTGGTGGGGTTTTTTTCTCATTTTTAAAGTGGAAATCACTGAATTTTATGGGAAAATAACTGCTATTACAAAATAATATTTATACAAGTATAACTTCATGTGAAAGGAAAGAAACAAATGCCTAATTCTTAAAAATATAAAGGAAAATATGAACTTTGTGTAGATGAAAAGTACATGAAACAAGAAAACTATTCACTGAACTAAGCTTCCCATTGACATTTACAGTACAGATTATAGCTGTCTGTGTGAAAAAGATGTCTGATAATAAGGCAGGTTTTCAAAATCGAACTTGCACCAGCATGAGTCTGATTTTTAGGCAAGTCTGGCTAGAAGGAGGAAGTTTTAAAACCTAATTTTAGAGGGTAGGTGAGGTCATGGTACATGCTAAGGATTTGCATAATCCTTCTTATATAATCCTAGCAATAGAGTAGTCAGGTAGGGCTGTACAGTGTACAGTGGCAGAGACGATGCATAAGGTACCACAGTAGCCTGAAAATTAAGCAAGCCAATTTTGTTTTCCTAGTATTTATGCAATATGGTCCAGATGTGGAATTATTCTGTGACCGTCTAAAAGGCCCCAGAGTCCCAGGGTACCTTCTGGAGACCTGAACCAGCTGTCCCGGCCCAGCACCATGGTTCCCACTGAGGGGTTGGCACCTGCCCTGGCAGGATGGGATTTCCAGGGTGTGCCTCTATAATCTGTCCTCTCAAGATGCATAAATGATAGGTAGGAAATTGAAAGGATTTAGCACTGTCCCATTAGCACTTCTTAAATTCACTGTAAGAAAGATGTAAATACTGCTCCTCCAGAAAGATTCTCTGACCAGTGGTGTGTGAGAAACTGCACGCCTTTCTAATGGACCAGGCAGCAGGGGGGGATGAGACATCATATGGAAAGGGCGGATTGTGTAGCATGGAGAGGCTGGGTGGAGCCTGAGTCAGAGGTGTCAATGCCTTTATGTAAATGACACAAATTTTATTTCTGATTATTTCTTTTTGGTTCCTTGTACCTGCCTGTGCCTACCTGTGCCTGTAACCATTCAAGGCTTAGATTTGATACCTAAGAGAGAGCATAGTAAATGCGTGTAAGCACATACAGGTGGAGCATGTGTTTGAAACATTATTGGTTCTGTTCAGCAAATGCATTTTATTCCCACCTGGCCGGAATGAAAGTCTACCACAGACACAGATCAGTGGATTTGATGCTTTGAGTGTACAGATGTTTTTTCAACTGTCCCTAATTCAAAGCCATTGTCAGACCTCTTCTTATGTGAAGGGCTGATGAAAATGAAGCAAAAGCTACAGTTCTATGTTAACCATATGCGTCACGGCACACATGAAAAGTATCGAATCATTATATCAAAACCCTGCCTTTGCTGAACTGGCTATAAGGCTTAAAGAATAATTAATAAAATGTCAAGGTTTTCAAGCTTGTAATGATTTTGCTCTGGTGAGGCTACCTTCCTATGACTTTGATGCTTGTTTTGTATGAACATTTGTTCACCTATTTTTTATGGAAGTAGTTGTCAGCCTTTACATTTATTATCATTCTCATGCATCACTATCATCAGCCTTTGATCTAGCTGTTTTTTTAGACAGCTGTTTTTGTGTTTAGAGTACTGCGTTACACTGGTAAAGCTAAATGTACCATATGAATTATAAATAATAACTGGTACAGTTTTTCTTCCTACATGTTTAGAGCAGTTTTTTTTCAGGCTAACCAACATGACTTCGTGTTTGTGAAAGTACACGCAAAGGTAATTAGGAACAGTTTTAACAGTGGGAATGAAGGATTTTCATGTGCTGGATCAGTTTCACAAATGCTCAGTGTGAATGACTGATGTCCAGTAACTGGTCAGGCATTAGAAATGGCAGCAGAGATGCTCTTCTTTAGGGTCAAGCAATACACAGAAAATAGAATCTCTTCTACTTACCCAGCAGTAAATACGGCACATGCCTATAGTACGCTTTTTTATGGAGTGCTGTCAAAATAGGGTGCAAATCTTTACATTCAATTTATGCACTGCACAGAAGCTACAATTAAGAGGAAGGGCCACATTGATTTTTCCAGTAAGAATTCTTTTTTTTTTTTTTTTTTATTATTATTCTTAGCTCTCTAAGAGCCAAGTTATTAGCTATCCATGGAGGTTGCAGGATGTTTGAACTCTGCTTTTTAGTGGCAAGAAAGTGAGATTAATGGGAGTTCTAGTGTCTCTCTGCTGACAAGAAGCCCATTTCCATTTTTGCTTTTAAAGGAAAGAGCTGCATTTCTCGTAATTTGCAGGAGAGGCATCAACTTGATATAAAGAAAAGAATATATATTCAGCCTCTCTCCTGAGACATGTTATCCTGGTTTTCACACTTACTGGCAAGTGAGCATGCAAAACCACTGCACTGTCGTGTTTGTTGAGCAGTTAAGTGCAGACTTCAGTAGACTGGGACTTCATAAACCACTCACTACATCTCCCCTAGTCAATTAACCCACATGTTGACTTTGTATTCTCCTGGGCTTCTGTTTGCATGTTTTTCCTCTGCCTGCTGCAGATAGTTTTGCAGAAATTGGTGCTGAAACAGGGTCAACCCCTGTGTCCTTTGTCAAACAGCTTTTCCCTGGGGAAGTTTGCCTTTGGGAACTGTGGGCTGTGGGGAGAGAAGCACTATACAAAGTATTCTCTGTTTCCACTGGTTTGTGTGCACAGAGCTCTAACAGATTTGTATTTGCCCTTAAATCTTGCCTGGCATCTTTTGATTGATTGTGCAATCACTAATTTCCTCCTTTTCCCAATCCACATGTACAAGCACTGATAAGAGGCTGCACAAAGCCTTCTCGCCTATGTGGTTTCATAATGTAGTGTTTAACTCCTAGGCTCCTTTATTTAATGGAATCACAGAAGATCTCAAGTTGAAAGGGATCTGTAAGGATCATCGAGTCCAACTTCCTGCTCCTTTCAGGACTACCTAAAACTAAATCAGGTAACTAAAACCATCATCCAAAGGCTTTCTTGTGAACAGTAGAGGAGTTCCCAAGAACTGCCATACATAGGGTGTCCAAGAATGGTTTGCAATATATTCCTTAGAATCTTCAGCTGTAGCTTTAATGGCAGTCCTGATTAGACAGCATCAAACAAATTCCATTTCTTTTCACTATGGAGAGCAAGAAGGAGCTGACTGAGGCAGAGGGGAATTAAACGAACAATGTAAGGACTTTCCCCACTTTATTAGCACCACAGGTCATTTTGGTAGCAATATCTCCTCTTCTAACCCTCCATCTTTTTTGGGTAGTATCAGTTTGGAAGCTTTAAACCTGACCAATTAAAAAAAAAAAAAAAAAAAAAAAAAAGAAGAATATGTTTGTTGAAAAAGATTCTCTGTTATTGTTTGGGTTTTATCAGAAAATTACAACATTCTGCTCTGTTCTCCTGGAAAGTAGCGTAAAGCACATTGTATATAGTCTAGACACTTCTATAGGAAGGCAAGATTCCCATTCTTGGAATAAATGTATTGCTATGGCTGTCCCCTCATACCTGTTTCTCATCTGTTTCTAGCTCCGCAGCTGTCTTCAGTGCTGAACATTCTGTCGTAGATTGCTGCTGTATTTAAAGAAGGAGGTAGGTGAAAGGAAGCAGGCTCACTGTATTATCATCCCGATGTAGGTGAGGACTAGCGAGTAGGAATATCTAAGCTGTTCCTGTCTGCAGGTTTTATAAGGTCTGCAAAGAGAAAAAGAGAAGCAAGTGGTATCACAACTGTTATTGTCAGGGAAGGCAACTATAAGTGTCTGCCAAGCAGTGCTTCCAAGGTCCATAAAACATTCTTAACTTTAGCTCAACGATGGCCAGGCAATCTAAGCTGCATGCATTTGTGGGGAAAACTTGGCTTTTCAACTTTTGGCTGCTCTGGGATTAGGAAGAAGGAGACAATGAATTTGAGGATACTGAGATAGATGGAAAAAGAAGGGATCTGATGATGAAGACATTTTTACAGCAACTGAAAAGGTGGAGTGGAAGGGAAGAACATATTTGTGAGGAAGCGGATAAAGGGAAGAACACATTTGTTAGAAAGTGCATAAAGCCTTATTCAGGCTAATTAAGACCTATTGTTGCACCTGTGGCCGTGACAGCCTTCAAGTGTTGTGGTAGTAATGATAAGTGCTGTTGAGGAGAAAGGATCCATGTGAGACTGATGCAGCAATGAAGGCAGAGAGCTGGGAAGAAGGAAAGTGATGTGTTTGGGAGTGCTGTGGAAGGCAGGCAATAGAAGGACAAGACGAGGTCTGGATGGAAGCATAACACCATGCTGAGAGCTTGCAATCTTCAACTTTCTGTTATAAAAAAGCATCAGGGAAGTACTGAATGAAACACCACCATAAGTTTTATACCTCTTCCACACTGACATCTTATTTGCCTGCCTTTGGTCTAAAAAGGTTATCCCTCCTCTGTGCTGCAGAAATACAGCATGGCTAGTGGGATGATCAAGTCTGAAGTAAATGGCTTCTGATTTTTTTTAATTGAGAGTGCAACATACACATTAAAAAGCAAAGCCATGTACAGCCAAGTTTCCTTATTTCCAAACATGTTTTCCACAGTCACTCTCTGCACTAGTTTTAGCCTTGTAAAACAATGGGAGAAAAAATGTACATGACAGAGTATTGTACATGAGGCAGAAGAGGTTTTTGCAGCATCTCCAGCTTCTGAGTCACAAATGGGATGTCCAAATTTGCCATTCTTCAGAATCCCTTTGCTTGTACAAACTTCCCTGACATTGCCTGAGCCGCAATTTTACTCCTTCCTACAATAGTGTTTGTTATTGCTTATAAATCCCCATGGCTTAATACATATATGTGATCTGCTTAATAACTGTTTTGATGTATTGTCCTAGTGCATCACTTACTGCATCTCTTACTGTATCACTTTATTATAAGCATAAAGTGGTCGCAGACTACCCCAACTTCTGGACTATTTTATCTTTCCTGTTACAGTTGAAAAGGTGTAACACAGGCTATTCAGGCCTTATTTATAGTAGCTATAGTGGTGTACTTACTTCCTTGGGGAAAAGACATGTAAATTTGTAAAAAAGCTGTTTTGCTGTGACTGTCTCTACCAGTTCCTGGAATTCAATAGCTTTACTGACTTTTAAGATGGTAAAACTATGCTTTTAGACTGTGGATGAACCTCAGTGAAAGGGAGCTAAGCTACTTCAAACTACCTTGCTTCTCATGTGGGCAGAGCATACACAGACAGCTGCAGTTATCATGCAGAAACTTGCTTTGTCTATCTAGGGACACCTCTGGGGTGTATGCCAGCACAGTTGTCAGAGGTGTGTGCTAGTTTTTCCCCACACCCTTAACCAGCGTGTCTCTGCCAGTAAAACTTCCAAGTTTAGACTGGCTGTAGTGTGAATGCCCCTGTATCATCAAGGCTATTTTTCTGTATTAGAAGAGGACAATGTTGTACCACTGTAAGTACCTTTATCATCACACTTATATTACCGGCTATATCAGCATAAGCTCTTTGGTACAAGTGAGAATTAGACCATTTATCTATCAGACACCCTGCTGCAGATGAAAGGGCCAGGTTACAATCAGCTCTGAACCCCTGAGGAAAAGCTGCAGGATTTGCTGGCTGAATCACTGGAGAGATTCACAGTGCCATGCATCTGCAGTGCTGGTTTTGAAAAGAAGTACAGGAATCAAGTTCTAAAAAATCCAGCACTTACTGTTGCAACCTGATGGGCCACTACATGTTCCCTGTCTGGTGGCATCACCCAAGTTTGCAGGGTTTGTTGGGCAGGCCAAGGTTTTTTGATCTTGATACTCCATGCATTCTTAATGAGATACGATTCTGTGGCCTCTTCAAAGGTTTTCTTAAGCTGCAGACAAGTCTGCACGTAGATTTCATCTCTTTTGTTTTCAGTAAAATTATTCAAAGGAAAAAAAAGGCTCAGCTGACAAAACCCTCGAGTGTAAGAACAGCATGACATGATAAAGAGACATGCATTAACCTTACAATTTTAGTAGCTTGCTTATGAAACTACAGCCCTTCATGTCCATCTGTGTAATCATAATACTTTTTCATGTTATGGCACCAGTTGCTGAGGCACACATGATTTGTGCGTTTTTTACAGAGACTGTGAGGGACTGGAAGTATTTTACTAGCCATTCTGTGTACCCTGCAGTTGAGTGGCAAGTGTTTTCTCTATTTTCTAGGGAATTCTAGAAGTACAGTTTCAGAATTGTTACCATTACAAAACCAAGTTGAAAGAAACCTGAAATATCTTCCAGGGAACAGAATTTCCTTATATTAGTCCTTTGCCTGAGATCTTCAAGCTCTTGAGCTTGGAGAGTTTTCTGGCAAGGACATTACTTTGTACTTAGGCTGATTTCAGTGCAATGTGGAGAAGCTGCGGAATGCAACGTATCTGTGAGTATCAGTGCTTATATAAGAGGATGTATAGGAAGCAGGTACTTGCAGCATTAGTACCTAATGTTTAGACTCTGGAGGTGATGTTATTGCTATTACCTGAAACACCACACACTTCCCTGTCCATACACAAAAGATTGCAATGTTTTTATACCTTTTAATAGTGAGGAATCATCCATTTATTTTATGTAAATGCTTGTAACATGCCAGTGCAGAGTCCTGGGAAAATGTTAAAAAAGGATTGACTCTTGTCTCTGTCAAGCAGTAGTAAACTGTTTCGGATAGGCAATAGCAGGATTTAAAAGCAAAGACTTCCATTTATCTGAACTGACAAAACTTCTGTCAAAGTCCAGGGTGAAGCCAGACACAAACCTAACCTGAGCAGGAGAAAGCGTTTACTTGTAATGACTCTGATTATTGGAGTACATTGCAATGTCCTACCTCAACACCCCAGGCTGTGGGGTGGCCTTGCATGTTCTTGCTTTGCTCACAGAACTAACTCAAAACACATCTATCCATAGTTTAAGCAAAGTGAGAAGCTGAAAACTTTTCACTAATGTTTCAGTTGGGCTGTTTGCTGATTTTGATTATTTTTAGAAGAAAAAATATGACAGTCTAGTTCTTCTTCTTAGACAGACCAAAACAAACGATGGAACCTCCAGGATTTTTTCTCAGAACAGAAACTGTGTCCTGGATGTATGACAGACTAGGCATGTTCTCTTTGGATAACTCTTTTCATTAATTCAAGAGCAAACATCAACCCTGTCTTACAAAAGCTTGTTTTGGAGCAGAAGAGACCCTCCAGCCCTCTCTAAGCTTTGGTAAATGCATGCAGGATTAAGACACGCTGTATTTCTAGTACTGAAACTCAAGGTGGGTCTCAGCTCAAGCATATGCTGATAGTCAATCACTAAGAAGAGGCACCTAATAAACCACTGGGAGCAAGATTCCATGTCGCCCTCTTCCTCCTCCAGGTCTTTATGTACATAGCTGTTTTCTGTAGGAGCAGAGTCTTAGAGGTCATGTTGTTCCAGCCATTTATACCTCAATGTTCTGTATGTCCTTTGAAATGTTCTGTTCTTTGTTACACGCAGCTTCTGACCTGTTTCCATCAGCACATTTGGTGTAGGAATCCGCTCTCTGAGTCTCAGTAAATATGACCTATCCGTACTTTTAAGATGAGTATATATTTATTTAACCTCAAGTTCTCCCATCAGCTTTTCTACCCTGAAACCATTTCTCAGGGGATGAAGTGCAAAAAGCAGCCACTAGTTTCTGTAAATGGCTGGAATTGGCCTGAGGAATTTGGTAAAACTTGGGGGATTTGAATATAAAGGGTACAGTGTGTTTTTTGTTTCTGATTTTTCTGTCTCTGCATTCATCTATAATTTGTGGAATCAAAGTTAAGTCATGTTATGCCACTGACATTTTTGTATGGTGTAATCACTCCTGATTGCTGTTTCTGCCCTTTGCTAGCTGGTTTCTGTCTGCAGCACAGCTCCCTTGAGAGACCACAGTTTAAAAGAAAAAAAGAAAAGAGTACCAGAGTACCAGCAGGGCACTTTATTTTCATCTCTGAATGTTTGAGTAAAACAGGTCTCCCATGGAAAATGAAGCCCAATGAATGCTGAGATAAGTTAACAATATAAATACGGCACCTTGTCATCTCTCTTACTTTGGAAGCAACAGAAACTTGCTCTCATCAGCAAGTCTTAAGAAGCATTGGTTGCTGGAAGGAAAACAGTCCGCATTCGAGTAAGGTATGTGCCCTACCATGAAGGGAAATAAAGGCATGATTCACATGAAATCTGTCCTGTTTCTGCGTTGTACCATGTGAGCCTCTCTTGACCTCCTGGCCAGCCCTAGGATGTGTGCCTTGCTGTTTTTAATTATTCTCCATGTGCCAGGGTGGACAGGATGCCTGTCCATCTGTACAGACAGAGCATTCTGCCAATTCTATCCTATGCTGGCCTCAAGCAGTGCAGCAAAAAAAAAATGTCCTCTGAGCAAACTTTTTCTCATAGGGTGAATGAAAGGCAGTGTTGTGGCCTGGCACTGGAAACGTCAGTTGAGGCTAGCTGGCTGGGAAACGTTGGGAAGCTTCCTCCACTCTGGCCACATGCCCACATTCTGCGCTGAATTGTACTCTATTTCCAGATACCTGCATCTTCAGGGTCAGGATGAATGCAGACAATACCAACTTAGAGCCGAAAGTGTTTGTAACTTTGGAGGTATTGCTTAGAACATATAGGGTTTTTACAAGCGCGTTTGTCTCAGGTACAAATGGGTATCTCCAGATGGGTTTAATCATTGCTACAGCACATCTGGCCCTGAGAGGGTGTAGTGTATGAAGTCTTTTTCATTCAGACTCTACAAAATGGTGAGCTGTGAATGAGGTCTTTTCAACAAACACATTCTGGCCAGTCCAACAGATGATACTAACTTCAGCCAAATACCTGCTAGGTTCTCTCCAGGGATAACCATCTCTTCAGTCTCAGCTGATATAATCCAGTAAATTATTATCTGGTGCACTTATGAGACATTACTGTGGGCAATGATGAGAGAGAAGAGAATTCACTGATACCTTACTGTTGGTGGCTTACAGGCCCTGGCTATACTTACAGTCTTATGTAGCTCATTATTACAGAAAGAGGGAGCCAAAGGTGCTGGCGTTCACTAAGACAATTTCTCAACAGCTTTCTGCATTGGACTCATGTCTTTTTTTAATTCCTATCTGCCTTCTAGTGCTATGATCGTGGTCTATAAAACAAACGACAAAAGAGTATTTTAGAAACATTTGCATACAAGCCTATATGTTGATACCCACAAGCAAAGAAACAAGCAAAACAGAAGAAATCAAAGTAATCCATGCAATGTTTTGGCTAATTATCATGTGTTTGTAATTTAGAACCATTACATCAGCTATTCCCTATATGCATTTTGGATCATTTGTTTAACGAAGAGCTGAGATGTCTGTTCATGAGTTTAAAGATTTTTGGTTTTTAATATGACTACTCTATATTCTTTAAATTTAGCTTTTATTTTATAGAATCATAGAATAGAATCATAGAATGGTTTTGGTTGGAAAGGACCTTAAGATCATCTAGTTCCAGCCCTCTGCCTTGGGCAGGAATGCCTCACCCTGTATCATGTCACCCAAGGCGCTGTCCAGCCTGGCCTTGAACACCGCCGGGGATCAGCATTTATCACTTCTTTGGGTAACCTGTTCCAGTGCCTCACCACCCTCACAGTGAAGAACTTCTTCCTTATATCTAACCCGAACTTCCCTTGTTTAAGTTTGAACCCATTGCCTTTGTTCTCTCGCTACTCTGAGTTCTTCTTGCAAATGATAATATGTTGTATCCCTGCACAGCTCTATTAGCTGTACAAGAAGACAATATGAATAATGAGTCTTTTAGAGAATGTGTTATCTAAATCAACCCCATGAAATTTGAACATACAGTCAAACTTTTGTATATGCTAATGTCTACTATTACAGACAAATTCTAAGCTTACGCAAAGATCTTACTGGCAATGTAGGCTCTTACATTTGAATTTTTTAGTAACTGATATTTAATATGTGTGCATTAGTTCTCATTTTTAAAACTATAAGATCTAACTGGTTACTGCAAATTTTTTTATTAATAGAATTGAAGTCTGAATGGGACCATGGTAATTACTCTGATATTTTGCAGAAGACTGACTGATATGTGGAGCTCTCCAAGATCAGAGGGAATTTATTTTAATTCCTACAGTTATAGGATGACAAACACTTTTCCTTGCAGTTGAACTCTAGCCTATTTTTCCAAAAGCACAAGACTCTGAGAGTGAAATTTGTCCTATATCATTTCAGCTTTAATCTTTGGTGTTTGTTGGTTCCCTCTCCAGTCAACACATAAATAGGCACTGCATGTTGACATGTCGAAGAGTGATGGGCTCTATTACCTCCAAAAGCCACCTCTGTCTCCCAAATGACTATAGAGGGAACCTAGACAATTAGTTGAGGACGTATTTTCATAAGCAATAAGTAGCCAAGTGCTACTGCGGGGATATGCCATCAGCTCTTTAATGACTGACATTTACATAGCACATTTTATTTTTTAAATTTTCTAAGTGTAGGTTACCACCACAAACACTTGCCTGGACCCTTGATAGGTTAAATTGTCACTTAGGTAAGCGAGACTCTCATCCTTGTGGTATATCCTAAAGGAGATTGCCTCCATGGAGTTTCTAATCTCTTTTGCAAACTTAGTACATAAATTACTTTTTGATCTCCGTTAATAAGCCAGATTTTTCAGGCCATGAATCATCTCTGCTGAAATGCAAAGAATCAGAAAATAATCCTGCAGAAAGACCCTTAGAAGTTGTTTGGTTCCTTTCCTTTTCCCAGGGTAAGGTTATCTCCTTTCTCAAGACAGAACACTTATCATGTCTAACAGGTATTTACATAGCCTGTTCTCAAAAGCTTCCAAAGGTGGAGATTCTACCTTTGGATTCTGTAACCAAGCCATGCTAGAACTTCACTGTTTTTCTTAGAAGAAAGTTTTCCTTAAGATGTAAGTCCCATCTTCGCAGCTGCAGTTTGAAGTCCATTATTAATGCCTTTGTAGTCTTGCACTCTCTGGGTGTGGAACAGTAATGGTTTTCTCAACAGCAAACAGAAGAAAACCTTTACTCTTTTCTCCTATCCTTGTTTCATAGAAATGCAAAGAAGCATGAGTATTTAATCTGGTTTTTTGTGCTTTTTGTTTGATTGATTGATTTAACCTCTACGTGGAGCATATGTGTTACCTGCCAATCTATATCTGTCCACGCACAACTAACATAATTTCTTGTAAATTTTATACTGATGAGAAACTGAGATATACAGATAGGTGAAATTTCTCCCAACTTTGGAAAACTAAGCATAGACAAAGCATGACTAATGGTTCTTAATAAGGAAGGTCATGGTCAAAATGTAATCACCAGACTAAGTACAGAAATAAAAGGCATGACTGTGGGAAAAGCTTTCCAATGGTGGGTTCAAGTCTAATTTCCAGAGATTAGAAGAGAGTGTCAGACTGTAACAGATGACAGCCTATTGTTCTTTCCAGATACAGCATATGCTGAGACAGGAAGGTGAGGAGATGGGTAGCAAAGTTTAACTTGTATGCAAAGCACTGCCAGAACAAACAAGCTTTCTGGATCATTTCCTAACAAGAAATCAGAGATATAATTTTACTTCAGGGATGTATTAACAACAGAAGGCTACTGAACTAATGATCCCTGTGTCATACAAAATGCCACAAGCTTCCAGAGTTGAAACCACCTAGTAAAAATGATGGTCCTATTCAGCAGCTAAAATGGTTTATTCTAGCCAGCTAAGGTGCACTTACACTGTTTGGCTTCTCTTTCTGCAGATGTGTGTGGTGTAAATGGAAATCAAAACTTTTATAGGGTTTTAGGTCAGTATTCTTTCCACTCTGTCCCTTCTGAGTGGTTTAGCAACTGCAAGTGCACACAGAATATAGTAGCTTCTCATGTCCAAAAATTATCAAGTGGAAAAAAAAAATCTTCTTATAAATGTACAAGTTCTCCCATTCCTTTAGCCTGCATCCTACATGCATACTGGCATGGCATAGTCTTCTAGACCAAAGCCAGACACCCTGTGTGGGTCACAGAAACACGTGACCTAAAGAGATGATGCTTGGTATAACTGGAAGCATCTTGGAGCTTACCTGTATGTCAATAAACATGGGATGTTTGTAACAATTCCAAAGTAGGACACTACATTCTTGATGCTAAGTTTAAATCTGAATGAAAGTGTGAAATGAGAATGCTGACTGTAAATGTTACTGTAAAGTATCAGGTTGTTTAGTTATTTGGAGACTTAAACCAGACATACTAGAAAGAGCATAGGAGCTGTACATGCACAAAACCTGCTCTCAAATTCTTTGAACTTTAGAGAAAGGTAAAATTGCATTTCATTTCTTCTAAGCCCTCATTTTCTTCTTTGTTTGTTCATAGAACAATTAGGGTTGGAAAGGACCTTAAGATCATCAAGTTCCAACCCTCCCGCCATGGGCAGGGACACCTCACACTGCAGTGTTGCTTGTAGTTCTTCTGTCATGGAGTCTGTATCATTACAAAGGTCATGGTTGAATACCTTCATCAACCCCTTCTTCAGAGCATGCAGCAAAACCAGAGCATGCAATAGCTGTGACCAGTTCTAACATCTCTATTTCTGAAACAGTTTTTTGCCAGAGTGTCTATCCAAATAATTGCTGGTTGAATAGCCTTCTTGTGTAACACATGGCTGATTGAACATGAACAGTAATACATCAGATAAGTTCAGTGCACTGAAAACAATGGTATGATCTAAGAATAGTGTTAAAAGGGCATGGAGAAAAAAATGTTTTCTTTTGCTACTGAAAATGAATAGTCTTCCAATAATGTCAGTATGTGAATGAAGGCTGAAGAGAAGACAGACATAGCAGGATTGAGTAAAGCTGCAGTACAAAAATAGTTGAGAAAAAATTAGATAAGAGCTTTGTTACAATAAAATTTTTTATCATTTCATTATGTAAGTACTTATAATACCCAAAGTTAAAATATTATATATATTATATATAAAATATCATCTGATGATGATGAATTTAAGAGGAACTGTCTCCACATACATGCAGATTCAGCAGTAACAGAGTGAATTGGAATTACTCAGTTAATCTTCAAGACTGTGGCTACTGATACTGGATCTGGGCAGTCCCACGGATGTACCCATAGGCCTTAATTGCTTTGACCAGCCTCACTTGGGGCCTCCACAACACCCTGCCCTTGGAACCAGGTGCCTTTTTTAAGCTTGTGTAAGGGAT